CCTCCCACCCTCCCACCCCCCCCCCCACTCCCATCTCTCTTCCCATCAGTGGTACTGAAGGAGTGGGGCAGCAATGAAGCCCCTAATAACTTCCTGCTCACCAACCTCACCGCCCCATGTTCCTCTGTCCTGGGTAGACAGATCTAAGTTTATCCTCTAGAGAGGAAACGATTTTCATGACTCTACTCTTTGTGAATATGGAGCAGACAGAAAAAGAAAGAAGGAAAGATGAGAACAATTACTGAAACCCACCCTGTGCCAGATCCTGTTATGTCTCCAAATACCATTTTCCGGTGTGGGGTGGGCGTGGGCTCCAATGGTTTAGAAGCCATCATCTCATCTATTTTTTAAAATGACTTTCTAGACTTCTTTCTGTTTCACCTGTAAACTCTGAGATGAAGAGTTGAAAGGTCACGAGTGATCCCGCTGCACGAATGGGCGGAGGGTGAGGGATACATGAGCCCGCGAGCACTCCAGGATTTTTCTTCTTTAATGCAGAGCCAAGTCCCAAAAGAAGTGTGCTGGCGACTATTAGAAATCAAACAGAACAAACCTAGGAGTCGGGGGGGGGGGCGGGGGGAGGCTTTTTCTCAGCATGAGAAGCAACAGGAACGGATGGGGCAAGTCAGGGGAAGACTGCGGTCACAGCCCACTTCCCACATTCAACAGCGCCATTCGCGGATGACTTCCAGCCCCGCCTTTTTGGGAACCAGTTTGGATGGGTACCATCCTCTGTCTTCAGCCCCCAAGAGTGGTGGAAAGCCGTGTTTGATTTTGATTAACCGAGGAAATTCGTACAGCCCTTTACTGCTTTTCTGGAACTGTGAGCGTTTCCCATGCCCAGAGGCTCTGTCGCACAGCTGTCCAGGTCAGAGCGGTCCAGACAGGAAGGCCCGCTCGGCTGATGAGGGACAGCGGGCCTCCACGCTGGGCCCCTCCCCAAGAGCCCGCGGGCTTCTCCTGAGGTTTGATCGCCACCTGGTGGTCATTAGAGGAGGCGCCTCCTCTGGGCCCCACGGCCGAACCTCAAACATGCGCAGCCGGAGGTGGATAGATTTGCGTCCGGAGGGCCGCTTGCAGACGAGAAGTAACTTGCAGTCTACAAACAGAATGACAGAAACCAGAGGCCAAAGAACCACTCTCACTCCCCACCTCCTAACACTTTTATATTACGCTCCTTGCAGTAGAAAAGCAAACGAGGTGGAAGTGTGGGGAGAGCCAGGATTCCAGGCAGGTGCCCATTTCAGAGAGATACGAACCAGGATAGCTCCCGCCTTCTGTTCTTTTTTCCCTCCTTCAGGGACTGCATCCTGTTTATGCACCCAAAGGCAAAGCTAAAAGCAGCCCCAGAAATCAGCTGATCCATTGCAGACAAGGGTCCGGAAAGTAGCTTGAGGAAGCCAAACAGGTGCTTTCCATGTTTCGTGGGACTGCCACACATTTCCATCCCTGCACCTCCAAGAGCATGAACCAGGGTGGTTCATTCCCTTTTCTCACTCACCCACCGAAAACTGCTGCTGAGCTGGGCTTTCCTTTTCAATCTGTGTTGCCTCTGCAGCTGTCCCAGGGCTGAATGACATGCGCGCCAGCAGAGCAGGCCAGCTGGGGAGGCTCTGGTCTAGTCTCTGAATACTAGATGAAGAAGCAGCTGCGGGCTCTGCCAGCCAAAGTGTGATCTGAGAAGGTTCAGAAGTAAACAGCGCCGACTGCTGGTCCTCGGGGCAGAAGGACAAGCTGAGCTGGCCTTGCATAACCAGGCAGAGGACTCCTGACCGCTGGAGAAGTCACATGCCCTGGGATATTATTCATACCTCTCAGGATAGCTCCCAGCCCTTCTCCCTTACATGTGACATCGCTCTGACAGAAAACAAAATCTCAAGGGGAAATGAGGTTTAACATGTACCAGCCTCTAGGAGAGAGACACAACCAATGGAATGAAATTTACCCCTCAGGGAAAATGGCTGATAACCATCTAACTATATTCACAAACATTTACTGAGTTCTAACCATGTGTTTGGTGCTGTCCTATAATCTCATTTAAGCCTGACAACAAACCCCTAACAGGGTGAATGACTATCCTTTTTCATAACAGATGAATAAACTCAGCACAGAGAGGTTAATCATTTGCCCAGAGTCACACAGCTGAAGAATGGTAGAGCCAGGTATCAACTGCAGAGTGTCTGGCCCAGAACCTGCGCACCACCTCACTCTACTTAGTTTCCCTAGGCAATTCCACACAGGCGGACTCCCACAGCTCTGAGTTCTGGGCAAACTCGGAACTTCCAAGTGGGTCCACTGGAAGTTTTTCCGGTCTCTGATGGAGCGCGGAAGGAGTTCAGCTGTGTTCCTTTAGTGACAGTAGATCTCCCATCAGCCACCCAGCTGACTGCCCAAAGGAAGAGCTTTGTACTTGACATTTTAGTCTTTAATCTTCATCCAAATGGGTTTCCACAGGGTTCCACTCCACTGTGGTCCTATTTTTATTCTTGTCACAGATTAATTAAGCATTCTCATGGCATTGAATGTCATTTAGGCGCATGGAGGAAAACACGGTTTCCCAGAAAGGAAGTGTGCCTCTAAGGCTGTGTTTAAACTCCGGTGGAGAATTGAGACCTTGGTCCTTGTCAGCTGGGCTCCATCGTGATTTCCCTTGTGATGGGCAGGCTGAAGCGGCGGCTGATTGGCTACTGGGACTATGGGAAATCTCGGCTTCACCTGGTACACACGGACACGACCGATTGTTCGTTAGTGCTGTTTGATGGCTGATTTGGGAGCAGAGGGCAGTGGTGAGGAGCCTGCGTTCTGTCTGGAGCCAGACCCTGTGCTTTGCAATGGTCAGCCCTTCACTTCTTGGCTTTGTGACCTTGGATAAAGTCCCCTGTGACTCAGTTTCCACAACACAAAAGTGCGTAATGAGGGGACAGGTCTAAAAGATTGCTGTGAAGAGTTGCTTCTCATGAAGCCTCCGGAACAGTATCTGACCACAGTGGTTGTGGAATGGAGTTAGCCAGGATTATTTTATATCACACGTGTGTGTGTTTGTGTGTGAAAATTATACACAGAGAGAGGACCTAGATTTAGACACAATCTACTCAGAATCAAAATACATACACCCTCCACATTTTTGCATTTAATTCACAGTTAGGAGTCTTTGAAAGTAACCCTGAAGGGACATGACATCCTAAACCATCATTTTCCCCAGGTTTGACTTTAGATCGTGCCCATGATTAAAACAGAAAGGAAGAAATCCCTTGACACATAAGTGAGTCTGGTTAACTTCCCAGCATTTGCATCTCAATTTAACTTTGGGAAATCCTTTGTAATACAAGATTTTGTTTAATCCTTAAACTAACCCCAGTATTTCCTTCCTGTACAGATGAGCCAGTTATGGGCTATAGAAACTGAGTTACTTAAAGCTCTCTCTATTACGAGTAACAGCAGCATGTCTGAAACTAGTTGAAGCAGGCATGAACATTTATTAGTTCATGCAGAAGATGCTAGATGGATACGCCTTCAGGCACAGCTGGACTCAGGGGCTCAGTGTTCTCAACATTCTTGCTCTCCCTTTATGGCTCTGTCTCCCAATGTGTTTATTTCATTCCAAGACAGATCTTCGAGGAAAGAACTCTAAGGGCCTATGAACCACAGACTGAGATCAAAAAGGAAGAGCAACTCTTTCCTTTCCATCCCGTACGTGCGTCTACTGCAGAGCCAGGAGCCGTGACTGACTGAGTGTGAGCTGTGTGCCCGCCCTGCAGATTCGGTGGTAGCCAAAGGATTCTGAAACACCCTGGTGGTAGCTAGTTAACATGGAAGGATCCTAAGTACGAGTCTATACTGCAGAAATATCTCTGGCAAACACTTTTGAATGTTGCCACCTCAAGCCACACCAGGAGTTTTGCTAGTAATATAAAGAATGCTGGAAATCATCTTTGCATTAGTAAAGTGGAATTATCAAACAGCTCTAGGTACAAAACTCTGGCAGGTCCAGTGGACTAACTTTTGGGGTAGAAACTTAGGCTAGAACTCTACTTGATCCTGGTCTCCCTCACTTAGTGGAATATTCCAATTGGTTGATCCAATTAGGCCAGTGGTTCTCAACTGGGGACACTGGCAACATCCAGAGACAGTTCTGGTTGTCACCACTGGGCACTACCGCCATCTAGTGGCAAGGGCCAGGACGCTGCTGACATCTTCCAGTGCACAGAACAGCCCCCACGGCAGAGTACCTGGTTCCAGATTTCAGTATGCCAGAGTTGAGTGACCCTGGGGTCCACAGCTGTCTGCTCCTGGCCTTCAGATTATTCATGTGCACACACATGCCTAGAATGAACCTTTAACTTAACGTGTTTGCTGGCAAGCTCCAAATCACAGAGCAGAGACCACTACATTTACCAAAATAGGTTGGCTGACTTGGGAGAGCTCGGTATTTAATCAATATATGAATATGTAGCAGAATTTAGAATCTCGATTCGTTTTAACATTGTGGGGGAGGGGTGATAGTTCAGCCTTTCAAACGACTCGGACTCAGTCCCACTATGTAAGACCAAGGAGTCCAGCAGCCACGATGCCTGGAGCTGCCTTCCGAGTGAAGACCCAGAGAGTGAAGGGAACGCCTTCTCCGGGCCTCAGAGTAAAGTCAGTTGTGAATTTGCAGGGCTGGGAAGCACGTGGAGGAGCAAAGCTGGAGGTTATTTCCAGTTTGGTCTTGGGAGAGAGAAGACTGGTGGGTGGCTGGCTAGCTTCCCATCCACTCTGAAAATTAAACAGTCCTCTTGGTGTATATTTTTAATTTGAAACTACTCTCTTACTCATTATCTTGCTTTATTACCGTGAGACTCTGTAAGTGTCAAGGTGGGGTTCGAGGAGATATTAACTATGACTTGCATTTGACAGACGAGTGAGCTAAGACCCAGAGCATACATGAATTTACTAAAACTGCAGAGCAAGGGAGATGGCTCGTCCAAGCCTGCGGCCAGGGAGCCTGATGTCCAGGCCTCTTTTCTGTCCCCTAATGCAGCAGTTCTCAGCATCAGCATCTCCTGGGAACCTGCTGAAAGTGCAAATTCTTGGACCCCACCCCAGATCTACTGAATCAGAAATTCTGGGGGTGGTGCCTCTGATTTGTGTTTTTACCGACCCTTCAGGGGAAGCTAACGCACCCCAGGCAGGAGAGTCAGTGCCAGGGCGCGGGGGTTGCACTTGCTACAAACTCTTCTCACGCCTTTGCATTCAAGGGACTCTTCCTAACCCCTCACGTTTGTTCCCAGAATGGCCGTGAAACACGTACTTGGGAAGCTGGTTACGTAGCGCCTGGACCACTCCGGCTCCTTGACGCATCTTCTTCTAGTAAACTTCTGGTGCAGCTCTTCGTGGGGCTTGTGCTGACTGGGGATGGGACCCTCCACATTCCTTTCCACTTGATCTGTCTTGGAACTTTCTTGCCTCTGGTAATTTTCTCTTCTTAGAAATCCTAGAAAGAAAGTGTGTCTACAAATACTTCTTTTACATTCTCTTCACCCTGCTATTTTCAGTTTGTTAATATAATAATTTTGTGCATACACGGTGTCCAAAATGTACTTTAAAACTTAAAAAGACCTGAGAAATAGCTTTTGGACAACTCTCTCCCTCCACACACACACACACACACACACACATATTCATATACAATTCTGGACACCTCGAAGGTACTGATGAAATATTTATTGAATTTATTAAAGACTTTTCCTTAGAATCAGAGGAAGAAAGCCAATGCCGCTGTCAGGAGGAATGTGAACTTGAAATTCTTTAATACACAAGAGCCTGAAAGAATAATAACACTATTGTGCTGGATGGAAAAGAAGCATTTGAGTATTTGATTCTAATACAAATGACATACGTGTTTCATTGTATGTATCTCACCTGCAGTAGAAATTAGTTTCTATATCTTAGCTATTCATTCAATTACCAGTTCATTCGTTCATTTTCACTGAGTGACCACATGTGCCAGGCCAGGCAGGCTCCCAGGCATCGGGCTAATGTGGTAAATGAGGATCCGCCCACGGGGAGCCTACAGTCTACAGGAAAGGCAGTATATTAAACAAGGGATTTACAATTCAGTGTCATGAGTGTCACACACTAGAGACATCTGGAGCCCAGAGCAGGGTGACAGAACCATGTGGGAGGAGGGCAGAGAAACCATAAGGGTCACACGGGAGGCTGGAGGCCAAGCAAGGCGGCTAAAAGCCGCCCCAGACTGCACTGAGCACCAGAAGAGAAGGGATGGTCTGGGTGGAGGAGGCGCGTCTGCGGTCTGGCTGACGTCAGCGGGCATCACTGCCTTGGCCTTTGGCAAAGGACGGAGATGACGGTGAAGGTCAACAAGACCGTGGTGGCCGCGCCGCTGATGAGCACGCCCAGGACGCCGCCGTGCACCTGCATGGCCTGACATCGCTCTCCAGTGTAGAAGAAGGCGTGCCCGGAGACGCACCTAGGGGGACGGGACACAGGGGCTGTGGGAACCACCCGAGCCCCAAGAGCCGCCAGGCCACAAGACCAACACAGCAGTAATGGCAGCGAACACCTAGCGGTTACTCACACACGCCTGGCCTCCTTCAGGGTGCTTTATATGAGTCAATAATTTAATCCTGTAACAACCCTTTGAAGTGGTGCTTAGTACCACGCCATTCTTACCATTTGCGTTTCACAGAAAGGTCAGATAATTTGCTCAAGGTCACACAGTTAGTAAGTGTCTCACACTTGAAGTCTGATCCCCGAAGGTCTGTCTCCAGGCCCAGTAATCTGGGCCACGTGCAAAGTTCAGGGGGAGGGTTTGGGACACCACGACTGTGCTGCCTGACACTGGCTCAGACTGTGAGCTACAGGGAAGTTCTCCAGATAGAGCGCCTGACTCTGTGCATTCACTGGAGCTGAAAACTTCCAGACAGTTTCAATTAAAATATTAGGGCAGTGAAGGGCAAAGGAAAACAACCTCAAGGAGCAAAATGCACAACAGCCTTGAGGAGCTCAGCATCCAAGGAAGAGAAGAAAGACGAAGGAGCTGATGTGAAAAGAGCAAGGGCAGGAAAGCCCACGATGAGACTGGACAGACCTGATGAAGCAGATCGTAAAGGCTTCGAGACTGTGTTGGGGAGTGTGATTTATCTGAAAAACCGCTGGAAGTTATTTCAGAAAAATTTTTTTTTGTAACGTGCATTTCAGTGAATCAATTTTTTTTTGTTCATGTATTACTTGGAGGTAGAAATAAAATGAGATACACTGGAATGTGTTCTCCCTCCAAAAAAACAAGAAATGTTAGGGCAGGTGAGCGTATCGCTACCCGCCTCTCAGGCTGCCCTGCAGTTCACATCCAATAGTGAAAACGTTGTACCATCACAGCGTTCGACACACAGCAGGCATGTAATGGCCACACCTTGGGTTTTTTTTTTTAATGTTATTTGATATAAAGATCAACTCAGAACCAAGGCATTAGAGGGAGGGTTTCATCCCTTCCATTGTGGTAACAGTTCTACCCTGTGTTTCAAGCAACATTTCTAATCACAAAGTTGACTCACAGAGCAGAATGAGGCCACCAGAAATCAAGGCTGCCTTTGATTAATCCTGGAATTATTTTCCCTTTAAAGGCCTCATCTCTAGCCTAGGAAATGAATTCTTAAAAACCAGTGAGTTTGTTCCATTTTTTTCTTGCTCAGTCTCCTCCCAATACACTTGAATTACATTCTCTAGTGTTGACTTAGAGGGCCTCCTCCCACAGACCAAGCTGCAGGTTTGTGGGGGAGGAATGACTTGGCTGAGCAGAGACAGATACACGTGGAGAAAGCCCTGGCTTTCCTGCTCCGAGAAGGATGAAGCCAGTCAGGGCACACCTGGAAACCTGGCACCCAAGGACCTATCAGCAAAGAGGTGCTGACTCAGGGCTGTGGATCCTTCAGGAAACAAGGTAGGTGGGCATCCTCCAATACAAGGAGCCAGAGCTTTGGAAAGAGTAATTGGTTCCAGCTCTGGGGCAGGAAGGGGAGCCGGAGCATCCAGTGGCCAGACAGTAAGATCCTGTTCATGGAAGGATGGGTGCATGTTGAAAGGGTACAGGAGCCAGTCTGGAAGGGCTCCCTGAGGCCAAAGCTAGAACAATATGAGCAAGAGGGTAACAAGAGCATTGTTGAAATATAGCCCATAGGGTAAGATAAATGTTTATGGGTCCTCAGTTGTATAAACAAACAATTGCATGGATAAATGAATGGGGAGGCGGGACGCTTATGCTTTACGGAAGAATTTTACTTAATGAACATGGAGGGAGCGGAGGAAATAGAAAATCACCATGAGAATATGACAGTGGGGGTTGTTGTAGCAGGACCCACAAATGGAGGCTAAGATTAGTGGGTGTTGATTTGAGGAAAGGCAGGACATCCGCGTGGTCTCTGAAGATCTCTGCCCTCTGCCAAGATGCATGTTAATTACAGAGTGAGGAATGGTAACTTTTCAGCACGGAGGCCTGGGGAGCACCCTCTTGGCCAGATGATCAAGGTTAACATCACCGGTAGTAATACGCCTTGACATCAGGTAACCCTCCCGTGACGCACTGAGAAAGGCACATCACACCTTGGCCCTTCTTGCCCCCAACGTACAACTTCAATATCATCATGAGACAACATCCCAGTTGAGGAACAACTTACAAAATAACCAACCAGTACTCTTCCAAAGTGTCAAGGTCACAAGAGACAAGACAAAGGACCTGTTCCAGATTGTGGGAGCTAAGGAGACATGAAAACTAAATGGAACGTGGGCTCCCGAATTGGATCCTGGAACAGAAAAAGGACGTTGGTGGAAAAGCTGGGGACATCCGAACAAGGTGTGCGGTTTAGTTAATACTATTGTGAACAGTATTCAGTTTCATTAATGTTCACTTCTTGGCTTTGCTGATTGTACTCTGGTTATATAAGATGTTGACTTTAGGGCATGGGAAACTCTGCAGTACTTCTGCAACGTATCTGTAAGTCTAACGGTATTTAAAAATAAAAGTTAACAAAAAAGAAACAAAGTAGAGAGCATAAAGAAGAGAGAAGAAATGTAGATGTTTTGAACCAAGCAGATGGGTTCCCACATCTGCTACTATTCTGTCAAGTGAAACTGATGGGTCTACATCCTTTTATGAAATAGTTTATGCAAATGACAAACATTATGAAAAGAACTATTAAATATAGCAAACTGCACAGACAGACAGACAGACAGACCTGGAGGCAAGTCCCAGCTTTAGCATTTACCATCTGGGTAATTTGAGACAAATGACTTAAATTATCCAAGCTTCAACTTCCTCATGCACTAAACGGGGATAAGAAGGACCATTATGTCACGGGGTGGCTCTGAGGAATAGTTCAGATCACGCATGTGCACTGCTCGGGGGAGCACGTGACACGTAGCAAGCAGTCCCCCAATATCAGGTATTCTTACTACTGTTACTGAAAACGTAACTACAATAATAGTACAACAGCACGAACAGACACTAGACATAATAATAGTAACTAAAGCAATGATAACAGCTGCTGTCAGGGAAGATTTAAGCTTGGTTCTGTGTCTCACGCTGGTGAATCCTAGAAGCTAAAATCTCTGGGTCATTTTGGGGGAGGGTTGTGGTGAGGTAATTAGGTTTATTTACTTAATTTATTTTTGAATGGAGGTACTGGGGATTGAACCCAGGACCTCCTGCATGCTAAACATGTGCTCTACCACTGAGCTACTACCGACACCCCTCCCTACCCAGCTCTGGGTCATTTTTGAGCCCTGCGGTGGACTTTGAAATTTCAGCAATATTCAAGATGTTGCTGACAACGCCCCAGAGTGAGAAAGGGGTAAAAGTCAAGAGACAGGAGACTGGGACTCCTCTGCCCTGGCAGGACCCCTGCTCCGCCCACCGATTTGGGGCATGGCTTTGAGGAGCGAAGTTGCCCTGACCTGAGAAGCGAGCCCCTCAGCAGGGTGAGCAGAGCTGGGGCTCCCCTCTGCGGACCCGCAGCTGCAGCCCCCAGGCCACCGCGCCTACCTGCAGCTGGCCATCCCCTTCACGTTCACACAGGTGCCTTCATTTTGGCAAGGGTTCGGGTCACACGGGTCTCTGAAGTACTGTGGCCAGTTGTGGTCCTCCAAGGGGCCCGAGCTGTCCACCGACCGCTTCTGTCGGCTGGGCTGCCCCTGGCCCAGGCTGCCCGGTCGGGCTCCCTCTGACGAGACCTGCTGCTCCTGGTCTTGGAGAACGAGGCCTTGGGGGGTCAGCCTGCTGCCTTCAACGTGAACCTCAGTCTGGTGAAGGTGGGTGATGTCTGGAGGAAACAGACATAGGGCGGTGAGAAAGACGTACGATTCATATCTGACCACAGTTCACTTCCACACCCGGAGAACGTTCCCTGGGCTGCCTCTGCCCCTCGCGGACATCGCCTTCAGTGGGACGGAAAAGTGGCTCTGAATATATGCACTGGATTCTCATAATGCCAGCCATTTTACGTATTTATTTATATCGACGTAAAGTTGACTTAAAATATTAGTTTTAAGATGAACAACCTAGCAATTTGACATTTTTATAGATGGCACTCCTTGCAAAGTTATTATAAATAGTGATTAGATCCCCTGTGCTGTATATCATGCCCTTGTAACTTATTTATTTCATGCATAGTAGCTTGTACCTATTAATCCCCTGGCCTCATTTCGCTCCTCACCCCTTCTCCCTCCGGTAATCACTAGTTTGTTCTCTGGATCTGTAAGTCTGTTTTGTTACATTTATGCCTTTATTTTGTTTTTTAGATTCCACAGATAAGTCAAAAGCATACAATAGATGTCCTTCTCTGTCTGGCTTACTTCACTAAGTGTGACACCCTCCAGGTCCACCCGCTACCGCGCACGGCAAGAGTTCATCCTTTTCCCCTATTTTTATTTCTAAAGTAGCCTGATCACATCTTTATTTATTTAACTTGAAAAAATAAGCATAAAGTGAGCATGGATAGGCTGACTGAAACTAAACTGAAGTCAGCAGACTGTCACATCTGATAAATTTTACAAAAAGATGACACAAAAATTGTAGTTTTTCCCGAGGACACTTAAAATCAAGGGGAATCCTTGAGTAACAGAGCAAAACGTGGTGCTCTTAGAGTGCATCTTTTTTTTTCAACCTAATCCCCCCAAAAGATCCCCACTTTCCATGAGATGCTTTAAAAAGATCTATGTAAAATCAACAAACACACAGAATATAGGATTATTAATTTAGGAAAACCAGCTAAATACCTTCAAAGTCCACAAACATGATAAGATCATCATTTTTAAGGAAACTCCTCCTTTTCAGCATTTGGTGGGAGATGACAGCACTCCAGCCCCAGTCGATGCTTCTAAAACAATCACAGCTGTTATGATAGGATCCCACGGTGGATGGCCTGTCCCAGATGACGGAGCCGTTGATCGCTGCAAAGTTACAGGTAACAGAAAGTCACGTTACATCTTTCTTTTCCACTTTCCAGTGTGTCTTTAATGAGTATCTAGACCTTTGTTAATCAGAACAAAAACATGTTGGGAAAAATCGGGTTATTTACTCTCTCTGGGAGGATTAAAACTCAGAACTGGGAGTGGGGAGAGCAGAGAACCACAGCTCCAAATGATCAGTGGTCCACTACTGAGTGACTTCCTCAATGAAGGAAGAGATGGCTATAGCTTCTTCCTTTTAAGGCTTAAGTCTCTTCTTTTTTTTTTTAAAAAAAAAAAAAACTTTGCCCATTTCTTTATTGATGCAAGTTTGTTTCCTGGACATACCGACAGTCAGCAATACTTTAGGAGTCAGTGCATTAGCTCTGCTCGGAGCCTAGCAAATTCTGAGTATTTGATAAATGATTAGCAGGACCCATCTCCTCGGACAGAGCTCAGGGAAGCAGGGACTGCCTGATTTGCTTGTCTTCGAAGGAGTTAGCACAGAGTTTGAAACATTGCAAGCTCTTCCTAGATGCTTGTTGGATGAATTCAGGAAGGAGGGAGAAAATGAGATGATATTGAAATGTGTAACTTAAGGCTCCCCCACGGCAATGCCGTAGACATGCCCACGGAGGAGATGTGAGGGTAAAGCCAGTCTCTCTTGCACAGATGAGAATCACCTCTTCTGGCCCTTCCACGTCGAGGGGAAGTTCTTATAAACACCTACCTGCAGATGTCTGGGTCTTGGAGGTAGTGAACACCATGCTGGAGGACATTCTCTTCATGACATCGGGTTCCTGGTCGAGTATTGTCATGACCACCTGTCTGTTTTCCACTGGCCACTCCAGGACAGCGTCATTCTCTCCACTGCACAGGTGGAAGGCAAGCCCCAAGTAGCCTGAGCGCTCGGAGGTCATTCTGCCGTGAGGGTATAAGGTCAACCCCAAACCATAGCCTTCTGAATTGTAGAACCGAGGGCTCTGAAGCCTGTCCCCTTTTGCCGTGTTCTGCAGGACCTGGGAGAAATTCCGGACCGTCCAAACCCCTGTGGGGCATGGGGTTTCGGTCAGAGTGATGTCGTCCAGGTAAATGCCCCCACGTGAGTTCTGGGGGTCACCTTTTGTGCCCTGGAAAAGGTAGCGAAACTTCTTTTCCTCTCTGAGCGTAACATGGGCAATTTTCCAATTTTGGTCAGAATCTCCTGAGGACAGAGAATAAAGGCGGTGACCACTGTGGACAACATTTTCTGAGCACTCACCTTGAGCCTGGTGCTGTGGGCTTTGTTTGTTTACAACAAACACACGAGATAGGTACTATTAGAAACTCGTTAAGGAACTTTTCCAAAGTCACGTATCTAGTATGGGAAAAGAGCTTAAAAAAAAAAAGACAGTCTATGATTTATCAAAAAAATCTTAATTATGAGTTTGTTTTCCATTTTTATTTAATTCCACAGGTTAGGGTTTCCTCTGAATTTGATGGTATAAATGATCCCCATTCCTTAATTTTAGCACTGAATTCTCAAGCATTAGGCTGAACCACATAAAACAGACATTTGATAAGCCAAAAGCTGAACAACTGGCAGTTTCCTATGGTCCAGCCTATGACATCATGCTGGAGAGATTTATCGAAGACTCTGAAGTAACCGATAACTTACAGGACAAGCTGAATCTCCCCTATGCAAAGCTGGCTCACTCCCAAACACCCTTTTTTTTTCCCTTTTCCTCATATTCACTGAAATTCCACCAAGTAGGGGATTCATCCTCTTTTTTTAAAAAAAAAAATTCAAATAGAATCACCACTATCCAGATAGCCACATTCTAGTAAAAATCAGGTCTTGATTTTTTTTTTCCTGAAAACTGAATTGGAAGTGGGAATTTGGAATCAAGAGATGGAGTAGAAAATGAGAGGGTTATTCTAGAACATGGGATGCTTACGGGTCTGGGAAGAGAAAACTGCCCAGCCAGAGAGACGCAGAGCTCCCCAGAGACCTGCCCCTGCTTTGCCACTGCACCCCGGGTGCTTTAGCTGGATCCCGCTCACATCCAGCTGTGGCCTTGGCATTTTAGGATTTTCATGCTGACCCTCTGATAGAACTACATCAAGTCCCATTTAGGAATATGTCGATGACAGTGATGAAATTAATAGATATAAGTGGCTCTTACTTCCCACCAACTTCACAGGTAGGTTTCAAGTGACTGTAGTTTATCATTCAGTTTTCTGAAACAGATGCAGAAACACATAAGGCCGACTATCTAACTACCCTCTCTCCACAGCACCAATTTCTCCTTCCCTTTAACCTTCCAGTCTTCACCCCTGAATCACCCACTTTTTCTGTCCTGGCTTTCTCCAAAGTTCTAGTGAAAACTGGATTTTTATAGTCTGATTGGCTTCCCCCTTTTTTATCTCCCTGATTGGCCTCTTACAATATAATTTCAGCCTCACCTGAGCCCTCAATTTCTAAGTGGTTAAAACATCCACTGAGTGGTTAAAACATGCCAGGCATTACGCACGTAGAAGAGGAGGGAGGGGGAGGAGAGGAAGGGAGAGGTGGGAGAGGAGGGGGGGAGTGGACGGGGGAGGAGGGATGGGGAGAGGGAGGAGGGGAAAGGGGAGGAGTGGGGAAAGAGCACACCCCGGATGTGAAGCCCAGTCAGTCCTCACACGATGCCCTTAATACCTTGGAAGGTCTTCACCTTGACCAGCTTGCGGACGCTGCCCGTGCTGTCATCCCTGCGGACCCAGACGACCAGCCTGTCCAAAGGGCTTCCTGTCATTTTATAGAAGAGCTGCAGGCACTGCTGCCGCCTCTTTGGGTAAAGGATCCGTGACTCCAGTAGAGCTGCCTCCTCGGCTGCCCCCGAGCTGGTGCTGAAGTGCATGTAGAAGCCGGCACCTGGGGAGACAGCACCCCGAAGTCCCATCTCTGGCTGCCCACACCCCGGGCTGCCGCCAGCCCAGGCAAAGCGAAACGGTGAGCAAGAGTCACTATCTAGGGCTCTTCTGGGGAAAATAAACAGAAGGCTGGTTGTCAGTAAATATCCTGTCTGTCTGCGTGGACAGAATCGCTGGCCACAGCCAGGGCTCTCCCACGCCTCTTCTGATTGGCTTTGTTCCTGAGGTTGTGAAATGAATACCTCTGGCTTGAGGAAACGCAGGCTTGAAGCCAAGTTTGATGGAATTTAATGTCTAGGAGATGAGTTCCGTTTTCTTCATGAACTTCATGGTTTCAAGGAAAGACTCATTCCAAGGAGAAGAGCTGGCTTCCCAGTTCTATAAGAAACTGTGGGATTCAAAGTTTTAGGAACTGGATTTTAATTGCTCCCAATGAAAAGGGTTCAATTTCACCTGTTTCTAGTCTAACGCCTGGATGTGTTATCAGTGGTAAAGAATGATCTTTACTGAGTCATAAAGAGGGCTATTCAAGGCATATTAGGGGCTAAGTGAGGATTTCTCCTGAGTATAAAGAAAGCTTTGGAAGAACACCAAAAAAGAGGGCGGAAAATATCGACATTTATGGCAGAGGTTGGGTTTGCCCAGCTCAGCCATCTCAAAACTCTCTCCCCCAAAACAAGCAGGCGGCTAAAGGAAGGACACTTTTTCAAAGTCAGGGGTGATGAACAATTCTTGCATATAAAAAAGTCACTTAAACTGACTCCCACACTCAGCCAAATGCTCCACTCAAAGCATTTCACTGAGTAAAACTGAAGTGAGCACCTGGCGCCGTTCTCGGTACTTTGACCAGACGGATCCCTGCCTCGTCTCGCTCCGTGCACAGGGCAGGTGCCTTCCCCACCGGCAGCGAACATCAATATTTAAGTAGGCTCTCCACAAAGCTGAAAAGTATCCTAAAGGCTTTAATATTTCATCAGCGAAAATTATATTTTTTGTTCTTCTCAACACTTGAACTATACTCGCCTAAGATCTCTGCATTAGGGATTATGGAGTGCTTGGGTTAAGGCAAACAAGAGCTCAAGACAGCTAAGAAGGTCTCTGGGTGGTCCTTGCTCAGGAATTCCACCAGGGGTAGTAGGAATTGTGACATGGAAGTCTAACAATGCGGGCCGGGGAGGAAGGAGACCTGAATTCTTGACCTGGCGCTGCCACGAACTGGGTGTTCGTGCACCTCTCAGGAAGTGGCCTCTATCCTTCGAGCTCTTTGCGTCTCTGCATCTACCTGAATGGTGCCGCGCACTCTAGCACAGGAAACACGGGCCCAGCCAGTGCCTCCTGGGGAAGAAGCATAGCGGCTGCTCAAGTGATGCTGATCAAGCGTTCTAGACACTTCTGGGCTGCAGTCCTTTCCTACTAAAGTGCTAGAATATTCTTCCAGCAGACTCCTTTCACATGGGGATTACCTTTCTGTTTACCTGGAACTTGTACATCAGCCCAGCAGCAAGCTCACAGGAGAGATTAGATTAGAGGCTATAATGGAAATGTAGAGAGAACTTCAGGCTGAGATCACCTTTGGACACTGGAGATGATATGCTTAATAATCTGACATATGACCGAGACTTTCACCCTTGGTCAAGGCTGGAGGAAGATTGGCAATGGCTTACAGCCTCTGACATTCTCCCTGGTGGCCTGGCGTGTGGGCGATAAGCCGGGTCCCTTTCATGAAGGAACTGTAACCAACTCTCACGTGGGCATGGACTCAGGGACGTCCTAACAGTCCAGTCTTTGAAGGGTAGTTGTAATCTATAACCCCACTTGCTTCCAAATAGGGTAGACTTGATTTCAATGAGAAGCACATAATAAAAGGATGTTAAAATAGAAATGACAAGTAAATGGAACCTCTGGAGAGAAAGGGAAGATGGGGAAAAAGTAGAGTGAAGCTGCGGGTCTGTAGCTGAAGGCTTTACATGCCTTATCTCCTTCCGTGTTCACCCTGAAGTACCAGCAGCTTGATGGTCAGAGAGGCTTACAGACACAAAGACTTAAAAAACCACCACAACAAAACAACTTCCTGCGGTCACAATTAACAAGTGCTGGAGCCAGATTTCAAGGTCTCCCCAACTTGATGGCTTTTTACCCTGCACGAACCATACATGGGAATGATCTGAAGCTATGCTATCCAATATGGCGGCTACCAAACACATATGGCGGTCAAGCACTTGAATTGTGGCCAGTTCAAAGTGAGATGTGCTGCAAGGAAAAAATAAATACACACCAGATCTCACATACCTAGTATAAAAGAGCCTGCAGTATCTCATTAATAGTCTTTATGTGGATTACACATTGAAATGTTAATATTTTAGACATATTGGGTTAAATAAAATATATTATTAAAGAGAATTTCCCTTGTTTCTTTTGTTTGTTTGTTTCTTTCTTTCTCTTTTTATGTGACTGTTAGAAAATTTGACATGACATACGTGGTGCTCACTATAGTTCGGTTGGAGGGCACTGCTCAAGAGACGTTACTCTGATTTACAAAGTCATATCTTATCAACCATGTGTCCATATCAGTTTTGTCATCGCTTAAAAGCATCTTTCTTTTGCACGCTTTTTATTGAGTTGAATATAAAGATATGAGAAATGGTTTTCATCCTCGTTCAGAGTTCCAGGCTTGATAACTAACATTCCAACTGAGGCAAAACATGCTAGCTGCCATCACCCACTGAACCTGGGGAACCACCCCAGCGTGTTCAATGTGTTTCCTTTCTGTCTTCACTGACCTGTGCATTGTCCCACCAAGGTGTGATCCCCTTGTCCGGGCTGAGTGCTGTCCTCATGGACCCAGTCAGCATCATCTCTGGTACTCTGAATCATTCCACAGATGTTTGCCTTCTCAAAAGCACAGTGGTCCAAAAAGGTGTGAGTTGTGGCTGCAAATGATATTTTTGTCACCTGGTTAAAAATGTAAGGCATCTTATTTCAAATACCTAATGTCTTAGGCTACTAAGACCTCATTGTTTAGGTACAGCAGGATCATGAGCTTTTCATTGTCTTGATTTTTTTCCTCAAATGCAAACCCTACCATCATCCGTCAGATCGTAGAACACACCAACGTAGTTGCAGCCCTGCTCACCTCACAGAGTCAGATGATAAAAAGGCTGATCATCGTGCTTTGCTATGAATGCCAATGATGAAGTCCTTTAGGTCAAGAATGACGTACCTATAATGCTGGGCTTTGTTCTCAGCAGACCTTCTCTACTTACATATTAAGCAGAATTAAAGACTGTCTCTGAAGACTAGTGGAGCCATGTTAGAAAACATCTCATCTCAAGCACTGGATTACTCTAGAAACCACTAACCAGGGCAAAGAATTTTGCAAGATACAAACTGCTTCCAAGCCTATAACTACCTTGAGCTTTAGGAATGAAGCACCTTTTAAAAGGAAGCAAAAGAAGTTGGACAATTACAGCTCCTTACATTGGTCCAATATTTTCACTTTATAAAGCACAACCACATAACTGATTTTCATAACCATCCTGTGAGGTGGGGACTCACTGCAATTGTACATTCGGTTCAGCCTCTCCAGATCGACGGCACTGAAATCCAGGCGCTGCCCAATGATGGAGTTAAACTCAGGGATCTTGGCCGTGATGGTAGGGATGCTGTCATTCTTGTTAAATGAGAAAGGCTGGTAGTGCATCAGAGACTCGTAATCATATGGTGTGTTGAGGTCAGTGATGATGTTGTCAGTGTAGGTGTTAAAGTTGTGCTGGTAACCTGTCAGGGAGAGAGTCCACAGGTCCTGTTCATTCATGTCATTTCCCCATCCTACCCTCTTTGACTAGATACTCAAGCAGAGACCAAAAAATAAAGGAGGGAGCAGAATAATGCATCTTTGATTTAAATATATAAGTATTTAACATATTTTATAATTTGCACAATGTATATGAAATTTATATATATTAATTAATATTCACTAATAATATTGTGATATATTAATACATTATATTATAGTATATAAAATTATTATAATGAATATTAAAATTAGATGGTATAATTAATACTAAATATGTATCTATAACATATATTGTAATGTAAATATAATGTAAATATAAAATGCATATTATTAAATATATATTTAAATCAATTTTTTATACATATAAATAAATAAGTGTGTGTGTGTGTGTGTGTGTGTGTGTGTGTGTGTACAAGGCTTTAAGAAAGAGAAGATAAAATATTGAAGTGAAGGCAGGTATTCCAAACAGCAGGAAAAGGAATTTTTGAATTCAGGAAAACATTCAGGATTGATACATCTTGCTAACAGCCAAGTCCCTCATCCACCCAGAGTTGTACCTGGCCAGCTCTCCCACAGGTTAGGAACAAGAGATCTGAGAGGCAGACAGAAAGGTTAGCAGCTGGCAAGAAAGTGGAATCCTGTCAATCAAGGTTCAAATTCTCCTGATCCAGAAATAGCCTCCATGGAGAGAAAAATAAACTAGGAAGAAAACTGACTTTCCTTTCAAAATATAAAAAGGAAACTATTTTTGATGAGATTAGTGGTTACAGTACGAGATCAGCCATAGGCAATATGTCAACAAAGGGACATGGCTGTGTCCCTATAAAACTTTATTTACAAAAGCAAACAGATATGGCCCAAGGGCTGTGGTCTGCAGACCCCCACTGGACCTCAGTTTTTTATTTTATTTTTTTTCCTTAATGGAAGGGAACAGATCCAGAAAACACAATCCTGACTTAAGGAACAGAGATGGATTTGGACAGAGAACTATATTGCCAGTAGAGTATGCTGAGGTTAAATAATAAGATTGTCATCAACTGCAGATGAGATGCAATAAAAGTCATAAATCACCCTGAGCAATAAGACTGTCCTTGTTTATGATCTTAATTGGATTCGATTTGAGAAGAGTTCTCCAGTGACTGCAGGCAATTTAGATTTATGGAATTACACCTGATGAAAACAGACAGGAGGTGAACAAACACATTGAGTAATCCACGCTCCACGTGGAGCAAGTCTGCAAATTACCCTGGCAAACACTCAGGCTCCCTCTGAGGAAGGGGACCTCATTTGGCCTAAAACCGTCCTAAAAGCACTGAGCAAGATTTAAAAACGTGAAAGTTTTCTGCATCCTCGTGTAATTTTCAGCAGAGTTAAGTATGAGCATGAGAAAGTAAGAAACTCAGGCCTCTAGGCAAATGCAAAGTCTAACAGTGCCCTGAGCATCCCAAGCAGCGATTTGGTCCTTTGACCTGTGACCTGCACTCTCCCCCCTCTACACAGATCCATAATGCAATTACCCCTGGGAGACAAATACTTTATTTTCAGTCTGTCATCTCATGTCTGGGTTGAATACGCTCTAGAACTTCTTTAGATTGGACTGGGAGGCAATGAAGAATATTCTTTGGTCTCTAGCTCAGGGGTTGAATGGTAGGGTGGCTAGAAGTGTCTGTGTGGGATGCCAATCCTCTATTAAGAATTTACAAACCAGAGGGTTTCCTCTTCCCGCCAGCACTCCACAGTCAAGAAATATCAGAATAGAGAGGCTCAGATGGAGAGGTACAGACTGAGAAGCCCCAGAGGTGATTTTGATAGAATTAGCCACCTGTACCCCTGCCTCCTGGAGGAATCACTGATCCACCCTCCAAGTCCCTAAAATTCTTGGAGATGCACTGCAAGAAATGAACTCATCCATGAAACTGGGATCCAAATAAAACAGATAATTACAAGACAATGATTTGCCTCATGAAAACTGTGTGGTCATAGTTAAGGCACTTCGAATACATTCACGTTTCACTCACCTATTGTTGCCAAAAATAATGCTTTTCTACTTCGTGAACTAATTCCTAACTAAAAACCAGGTCTTTTCAGAAACACAGCATTGACTTCCTACCCGTCCCCATATAGGGAAATTGTGGGCTAATAGTGTTTTTGTGTCCTCAAAAGCACTCTGCCTAGTTGTCTGAAATGATTAAGGCAGGTAGTATCGAAGGAAATCTAACGAAACTAAAGGACATCAGAATTGTTAGAGTAACTGCATAATAACGTGTGACATGAAATAAAACTGTGTTGACCTTTGCAAAGTATGGGCTGGCGGCAGAAGGAAAAAGATGCTTAGAAAGGCGAAAGACTTGTAAATTTTAATTAACCAGAACTCAAACTATTGGCTAGAATTGACACAATAAGGGGTCCAATTTCAGATTAGAAGTTTGGCGGTTTTGGGGGGTTTTTTGTTTGGGTTTTTTTTTTTTTGCTGCTGTTGTTTTGTTTTTAAACACCTATCGTTGATTTAGTAAAGCACCAAAAAATCTTGTTTATGTCTTAGGATCATCATACAGTCAGCTAAACCTCATGTCGCCACAGATTTCACATCCAGTGAAAGGACCCTGACATCCTCAGAGATCTAATTCATTTTACTCACTCAGACAGGAAAATAGAATTTGAGATGGATTTTCAACAAAACACTGAAACAAAGCAAAATCTTCTGATTAACTTTCAGTTAAGCCCACAGTGAGTTACCTAACAGTCACCATTTCCTGAGACCCATATCTGGGATTGGCCACAAGCAGACCAGCACAGCCCACAGGAGAGGTCATGTTCTGAGCTCCTCCTGGAGAAGGTGAAGCCCCCATTCACACATGGGTTCCTCCTGGTCATCCCAGGGTTGGTCTGAGCACATGAGAAAGATAATAGCAAACCCCACACAACCACCCTGGGTTCATACACACCTGGAAGAATTTCATCCCACCAGATGTTCACATAATCATCCCGGTCCGTCCTCGACTGCTCATGGTAGAACCCCAAAGCGTGCAGGATCTCGTGTTCAATGATGGCCTTATAGTCACATCCCTCGCCAATGGAAAGGTTCTGTCCCACGTGGAGGTTGCCAACCTCAGACCAGCACCTTTAAAGACAAGAGAGAAATTTTCTCCTAGACAATCCTTCAGAGACTGTAATTCATAAGATTCTAGAACACAAACTTGAAGGAAGTTAGGTTTGATTTTTAGAAAGAAATGATAAATTAGCATCCTCATGAGCTAATGGTTCAACGTAGGGGACTGGTTAAAAAGGCAACATTCCCTGGAGGGAACATTACGCAGGCTTTAAAAATAACAGTCCATTATGAAAGTGGTCCGTACTCAGAGGCAAATCAATCCTGATAGTGCATCAGCTAAAAGGAAGTAAAAATTGGCATTTTTCTTCACCTATACAAATCCACGGGGCATTCCAAAGAGTAACACTATTGCTTTTATACCACGATATTAAATTGTTTCTGAGTGGTGGCTGTGGTTGATTTAAATTTTCTCCTTTGTATTTAAATGACTCTCCAAATTTCCTGTAGTGAGCAGGTATAAATTTTACGATCATGAAAAAGAACCTCATTAAAAATGCAAGTTTTATCAAGTCTACTTCTTTGGCTATAACCCAATCTGCAGCATTTTGACAGCAGGCAGCAGGCTGCCTAACTGATGTCTGAAGGGCTCCAGGCAAGAGGGACCCATAACTTTGCTCAGAAATCAGCGGACTCAGGCACTGCTGGCAGATCCTCTAAATTCCTCCTGTGCACGCTCTTTCCCTCTTTTTCCCAATCATTTTTGTCTCTTCTCATAAATCTGATTTCCCACCGCTATTAGCAAATCAGAAGCTTTACGCAAATTGTCTCTTTATCTGCTTTACATTGAAGACAGGGATCTATACTCCAACCAATGCTCAACAGAAATTTAGCAATAGTCTTAACTGCTGTCAACAGATGGCAAGTTACTTGGTGACAATCGCATTGAATTACCTGCCATTGTGTTCCCAAACAGCTAAGGTCACCTACATTCAAATGCTAACAGACTTGATTTCTACACTAGGATGGATCTTAATTATTTTCTAACCATTTTATTAAGGTATAATTTACATACTGTCACCAATTTCAAGTGTACAATTCAATGACCTTTAGTAAATGGACTGAGTTGAGCAAACATCACCATGATCACCTTGCCTCTCTGACAATAGTATTTCATGACCAGATCAGAGTTTACTTTGCAAAATATCCATTATCTAGAGGAAATATTATTTATCTTTTTTTTAAAACATCTCTCCCCTAACAGAAAGGTGTAAGTTGCAAAATACCATCACTTCAGCACTCTGTGAATCTTTGACTTTGTCTTTCTGAAAAAGGCCAGTTAAGCTCCAGATTCAGAGGACTAGGACTCTCAAGGGCTTGGGGCACTCTGGACCAGTCCCTTGACGTCTGCCTCCCTTTTCCTCTCCTCTAACTTAAAGGTAAGAGAGGCAGCTTCTGGCCATAGGCAGTGAGCCCCCAGACTCTGGTGTTACCTCTCTCCCCCCACACCCCCCCATTCATCCTTCCCTCTCCTCTGCCTCGCCATCCTTCTCCCTTCTTCACCTCTACCACTCAGCTGGTCGTGTCACTTCACACGACGGGTAGAGGTCCTACTTCAGTCCCCCAGAGCCTGTGACACTCACCTTAGTGCATGACAACTATTCACTTGTTACTACACTCCCACCCTCTCCTGACAACTGGGAAACTTGTGAGATCTAAGAGTGCATCTCAGGCTTCTTTGTACCCACAGACTAGCATCTTCTTGGTACATAATAGGTGCTCGTAATTTTTATAAATAAAAGAATGAATATATATAAAACAGATAAATGACAAGGTCCTACTGTATAGCACAGGGAACTATATTCAAGCACCTTGTAGTAATCTATAGTAAAAAGAATATGAAAAGGTGTGTGTGTGTGTATATATATATATATACACATATACATATATAAATGAACCACTACACACCAGAAATTCACACAACATTGTAAATTGGCTATACTTCGATTAAAAAAAAAGAATGAACAAGTACTCAGGAAAGTAAGGTATTAACTTGTATCCAAGTAGTATCAGAATTTCATTATTTTTACTGATTTTTTTCATACTTATTTATTTTTACTCTTTTTTAATTAATAGATTTTTTTAGGATAGTTTTAGATTTATAGACAATTGAACATACAGTATGGAGAAGACCATATACTCCGTTTCCACCCCCCAGATTCCCCTATTACTAATACGTTGCATTAATGTAGTATATTTGTTATAACTGAACCAATAATGATACATGAACTAAAGTCCATAGTTTACATAAAATGCACACTTTGTGTTGTACAGCAGTAGGGGTTTTGATAAATACATAATGTCATATATCCACCATTACAGTATCACGCAGAACAGTTTCACTGCCCTAAAAATCGTATTTCATCCCTCCCTTCCTCCTTCCTCCTCAAACCATTGGTAACCACTGATCTTTTTCTTAAATTGAAGTCCAGTTGACTTACAATATTGTGTTAGATTTAGGTGTACAGCAAAGTGATTTCATTATACATATATATATATTCTATTTCAAAAAAGGTTATTACAAGATATTGAATATAGTTCCTTGTGCTATACAGTAAACCCTTGTTGTTTACCTATTTTATATATGGTCGTGTGTATCTGTTAATCCCAAACTCTTAATTTATCCCTCCTCCCACCCCCTTTCCCCTTTGGTAACCCTAAGTTTGTTTTCTATGTCTGTGAGTCTGCTTCTGTTTTGAAAATATGTGTACTTGTTTCTTAAGAGACTAAATCACGTAGTAACTTCCTTTTGTACCTCTGTTCTCCGTCCATAATTAACAAAATCCCCACCTTCAGAACTAAACAACTGAATCCAGGCAACATCTAGTGGCAGCGACGGGAACTGCAGTGTGGAGACCTCCAGGTGGGTCTTGAAGACACAAACCTACAGAGTCCTGGCAGATGATGGCTTTGCTCTCCAACTTCATCTAGTCCAGACCGGATAACAGAAACACCACAGAAGACAAAGCTCTTCCTTCTTCATATACCACTTACTTCTTAGAATTAAGTAACTATGAAAAGCAGACTTACATCTAGAACTTTTCAAAGAGGTCCAGCCAAAAGAGTACTAAAATTTAAAACAGTGCCTTTAAAAAGGATGCAATTTATGCTTTAATAAACCTGACTTTAAAAAAAAACTATAATTTAAAACATGACCTCAAACCAGGAAAAGAATTGAGATGAGTCTCCCCAGGACCCAGAGGTATCCAAACAACTCATTCTTCACACAGCATATAGAAAATGTGATGCAGTTTTACAAAGTCACAGTGAAAGGTTTGATTTTGCTTTTGGTTTCTTTCCAATTTCTTCTTTTAGCCTTTGAAAGAGATGTGACACTTTTTATAAATCAAGAGATGTATGGTTTTCGCGCTCTGTGAAACTTCGTACTAACCCGTCAAACTTCTGAAAGATGATATATGAGCTCTCTCCTTCATAGGGCTTGAAATCCACACAAGACTTGAGGCGAAACATTTCAAAGGCATAGAGAATGGCTCCTTTGGCATTCAGCGCTGCAGAAAAAAAAAAAATTTTTTAAAGTATCAATGAACCTTATCTAGATCTTGGATAATTTATAACATAGAAACATAGAAAATCATGCCACCACATGAAATCCACAGAGGTCCATTATAGATTTTTTTGGTAGTAAATAGATTCTTTGAAAACTAAATCTGAAAAATTACTTATGGATATAAATACTGGGTGCATACTTTAAATACATAAATTAAATACATCTACAAAATAAGCATACACTTATGTACATGTGGTTGAACAAAATCCTAAAATAACTTCCCCACTTTCTCCCTTTCCTTTCCCCCCATTTAAGCAGAAATTCTGAGTACATTGCCTCAGGAGAGCCACACGGCAGAGCAGAAGACAAATGGATAAATAGATAAAGCATCTTGGAGGGAAGCAGTGAGAATGGGGTTCCTTACCCCAATCTAAAAAGACACCCCTCCTGCTGGACAAAGAGAGCAGAGCTTAGAGAGGTTTGT